TTCATTTTGGGGGGTATTAATAATATAAATAGTAATGTATTTTTAATCTCAAATTCCACTTGCTTATTTCTAGTATATAAGAAAGTGACTGACTTTTGTATATTAACTTTGTATCCTGCAACTTTGCTATAATTACTCATTAGTTCCAGTTCATTTGTCAATTCTTTCAGATTTTCTACATAGATGATCATATCATCTGAGAACAAGTAATTTTATTTCTTCCTTTCCAATTTACGCCTATTATTTCCTTTTCCTGTCTTATTGCATTAACTAGGACTTCCAATACAATATTGAAAAGCAATGGTGAGAGGGAACATCCTTGCCTTGTTCCTGACCCTAGCAGGAAAGTTTCAAGTTTCTCACCATTAAGTATGCTTCATTCAACGTTCTAAATTTCCTGCTAAGTACTATTCTTGCTACATCCCACAAATTTTGATAAGTTGTATTTTCATTTTCAATTAGTTTGAAAATATTTTAAAATTTCAATTGAGATTTCTTCTTTGACTTGTGTTATTTGGAGGTATGTTGTTTAATTTCAAAGTAGTCAGGGGAATTTCTAGCTATCTTTGTCTTATTGATTTCTAGTTTAATTCCATTGTGGTCAGAGAGTTGACATTTTATTATTTTTATTCTTTAAAATTATTTTATAAAATTTTATGACCCAGAATGTGGTCTAGGAAGAATGTGTAACCTGCTGTTGTTGGACGGAGTCATCTATAAGTATCAATTATATTCAGTTGATGGTGCTATTGAGTTCAACTATGTCCTTACTAATTTTTGCCTTCTGGATCTGTCCATTTCTCATAAAGGGATGTTGAAGTCTCCAACAATAATAGTGGACTCATCTATTTCTCCTTGTGGTTCCATCAGTTTTTGTGTCATGTATTTTCACACTCTTGTTAGGTTTATAAACATTAGAGATTGTTATGTCTTCTAGGAAAATTGACTCCTTTATCATTATGTAATGCTCCCCTTTATCCCTGATAACTTTTCTTGTTCTGAAATCTGCTCTCTCTGTAATTGCTATAGCTACTCCTGCTTTCTTTTGATTAGTGTTGGTATGGTATATCTTTTTCTACCTTTTTACTTTTAATCTGTATGTGTCTTTATATTTGAAGTGGATTTTCTGTAGATAACATATAATTGGGTATTGTTTTTAATCCATTCTGACAATCTCTGTCTTCTAATTGGTATATTTAGAACATTAATGTTTAAAGTGATTATTGATATAGTTAGATTAATATCTATCATATTTGTTACTGTTTTTATTTGTTACCCTAGTTTTTGTTCCTATTTTCGTCTTCTACACATTTCCTCTCTTTTCTTAGTGTATCAGTTATCCCTCCCTTTTAATTTTTTTTTTTAGTGATTGCCCTAGAGTTTGCACTGTACATTTTATAACCAATCCAAGTCCACTTTCAAATAACACTATACCACTTCAGTAGTGCAAGTACTTTATAATAATTTAATATTCCCAATTCCTCCCTCCTCGTCATTGTATTATTGCTATTATTAATTTCACTTATATAAAATGTATTCAAATATATTGTTACTACTCTTATTTTGAACAAACTGCTATCTGTTAGATCTATTAAGAATAAGAAAAATAAAAGTTTTTATTCTACCTTCACTTTTTTCTTATCTGATACTCCTTTCTTCATGTAGATCTGAGTTTCTGACCTATACCATTTTTCTTCTTTCTGAAAAACTTCTTTTAACCTTTTTCGCAAGGTAGGTCTACTTGCAACAAATTTCCTCAATTTGTTGAGGAAGCCATTATTTCTTCTTCATTTTCAAAAGATAATTTCAGAGTGCAGAATTCTAGATTGACATTTGTTTTATTCTCAAATAATAAATATTTTACTCCACTCTCTTCTTACTTGGCATGATTTCTTAGGAAAAGTAGCATGTAATTCTTATCTTTGCTCCTCTGTAGGAAAGGTAATTTTTCTCTCTTCTTTCAGGACTTTTTCCTTTTGACTTACTTTGAATATAATATGTCTAGGTATAGTGTATTTATCCTGCTTGGTCTTCTCTGAGCTTCCTGGATTTGTGGTTTGGCGTCTGATATTAATTTAGGGAAATTCTCAGTAACTACTGCTTCAAATATTGCTTTTGTTCCTTTCTTTTCCTTATAGTATTCTCATTATGCATGTTAGAACTTTTATAATTTCTCTACAGTTTTCAGAGATTCTGTTCTTTTTTTTTCAGTTTTTTTCTCTTTGTTTTTCAATTTTGGAAGTTTCTATTATAATCTCAAGCTCAGAGATTCTTTCCTCAGCCATGTCTAGCCTACCAATGAGCCCGTCAAAGATATTCTTCATTTCTCTTACAGTGTTTTTTATCCCTAGCGTTTCTCTTTTATTCTTTCTTAGAATTTACATCTCTTTGATTACATTATCCATCTGTTCTTGCATGCTGTATGCTTTTTCCATTAAAGCCCTTAGCATTTTTACCTTAATTTAAAAAAAAATCCTGGTCTGATAAGTCCAATAATTCCTGTCATATATGACTCTGGTTCTCATGCTTGTTCAGTCACTTCGAACTGTGTTTTTTACCTTTTAGTAAACCTTATAAGTTATTGTTGAAAAGTAGACATGATGTCCTGGGATAAGGAAACTGGTGAGCAGGCCTTTAGTAATGTGGCTGTGAGGTGAGGGGGGAGGGGAAGCACTCTCATTGATTAGGTCTCTCAGTGTTTTGGTGAGCCTGTGCCCCTGGACTGTGAACTTCAACAGTGCTTCTCAGTTTTTCCTCCCTTTATGTGGGATAGAATGGCTGGAGGGCACTGAGGTTGAGTATTTCCTTTCTCCTGGGTAGGATAAAACCCCAGCAAGTTAGGCTCTGGTAAAATAGTTTCTCCTGAGAACCAATCTAATGGTTCCTTTTTCCCTCTCTCTGCTGGAAGCATGGAGGAATTTTTCTCTGCTATTCACCATTAGGTACTGGTAGAGCTTTGGAGGTAAAACTCACAAAAATATAGAGATCCCCATATAACTAAGTCCCCTGGAAGTTTTTGACTCTCAGACTTGTCCACACTGAGCCTCCAGCAGTTTGTCAATTACAGTTTAGGTTTTCTCACCCTGAGGATGGTTCCCACAGACAGTTATGCTTGTGGGTTCTGCTCCAGTAAGTTGTGATTCTCTGTATCTGTCTGTCTCTCCAATTTTAGGAGAAGTGGTTTGCTCTGTGACCTCGCTTCTCTGCCTGATTTAAGAAGAGCTCTTGATTTTTCAGCTTTTTAGGACAGAGTGGTGACTACTAAGCTCCTTATATACTGGACCAGAAACTTATCTCCTTTTCACATATAAGGAAACCAAGGCACAAAGATATTTAGTAATTTGATCAAGGCCCGCAGCTACCATGCGGCAGAGCCAGGATTTGAATCTATGTGTTCTGGTTCAAGAGTCTATGCTTTTAGTCTCTACACCACTGAGGAAAATAAGTCAGGCTAGTGGAGAAAGAAGGAATACGTTTTCTTTCCATGAGATCTTTCACGTCTCTTAAGTTTACATTTTCAAAAAAAATTCTAAAATGATTAAAGGAACATGTGCCAGAAGGGTGGCTTGAAAATAAATGTAATGAAAACTTGAAGTAAACACAGTAAGTAAACATTTTAGAGTAAGAGGAAAAAAACACTCTTAAATCTACTATTTTTACAGATTATATTCTTCATGAATATCACACATGGGTATTTTGTGTTCAGCTTTTTCAATAAACATTGTATCATGGGAATTTCCTCATGTTTCCATATCTTCTTTATAAATTACATTTAATAGCTGTATACTATTCAGTAATTGTGTTTAGTAATGGTGTGCTGTAATTTACAAAAGAATTCTCTTATTGCTTCACATTTGACCATTGTTTTCTTCCATTGAGTGATTTCACTGGGTCTATGGGTACAGATAGATGTATAATTATTGCTAATTTTTGTCATTGTTTCAAGAGGGTTGTATGAATTTTCTGGGCTTCCAGCTTTGTATAATTATATAAACTATGGATATATATATATCTTAGATGCAAGAGCAGTGTTAATACAAGGAGGCTCTAAATAGGATCCTCCTTTTTCAAGAACTGATGCATAACTTATTTTCAGATTTTCAGTTTATGTTACAGGTAAACTTGCAGACAGGAGATATTCTATAGATATTTATCGAATGGATGGATGACATCCCACTGTTTCTTCCTAATTAACACAGATAAAGTGGCTGAGTTGAGATGATGTCCTGATTTATAATATAGAGCTTTTTCTCCTATCATAACTATAATTTTTACTTCATTCACCATTTATTGTACACTTAGTATGTGCAAAGCACAGTTCTGGAATTGGGGATACTAGTATCGATAAAACATAGTTCCACACATCGTAGACCTCACAGTTTGTTTGAGAAACTCACATACATCTCTGGATCAAGTTCTCATAAAATAAATGTACTGACCTTGGAAATCCCTTCCAGCTCCTGGATTCTATGATCTGAACCTCTAAATTTCCCACTGCTAGATACTATGATTCTAGAGTAAGCTTATTTTAAAGAGCAATCTAAAGGAACTGATGATTCAGGATAATGATAGGGAAACTATTTTCTCTTCATTCATTCATTCATTCATTCATTCTTCATCATTCACTGAGGGCATACTAAACACCAGATACTATTAAGTGTTAGGAAACAAATAGAAATAATTCTTCTTCTCTTAAAAAGTCGAGTACGAAATAGGAAGATTTTTTGAAGAATAGTTTTGCAACAGAACAGTACTACACACATGTATGTAAAGGTGATGTGCTTACTCCATTATTTTAGCTAAAACTTAAATAGGGTGGTCTCTAGTATTAAAGTAGAGGAGGGAATCAGCTAATATTGTCTCAAGCTTACCCTCTAAATGCTCCCAACAGTTAATGGAAAATATTATTGAATCTCATGGATTTATCATGGGGAAAAATACTTGTACCATACTTGCCAACATCAGGATGAAAGAAGATGAATGAATGCATGTGAACTCACCACTTCTCTTCTTCTACTTGCACTCCTACGGACTGGAACTTACTGGGCGCTTTATTTTCCCCTGTTTTGTCAGGTTCTTCAGCATCATCCACCTAAAGGAATAGTCAAATAAATAGAGGTGCTCCATCTTAGTCATTTCACTTGAAAAACAAATGTCACATTTCATTAGAAACATCTGTAGTACTACTGAGTACTACTGGAATGTTTTATGATTTGTAACTTTTTTCTTCAATATTTGTGTATTTGATGAGAGCCATCACTATATTATTATAACATGCACTTTGACTCTGCTGATCTTAATAAAATGCAATTTTGATTAAAAGGTGCCTAATAAGTGTCTATGATTCCTCCATAGATTTGTGAGTATGTACTTACCTGTGAGTTCTATATTAGAAGGGAGCACTACATGGAAATATGTTCTTGGAAGTTTTGAATTTGTAGATAACAAAATACAAAAGAAGGAAGAAATTTATTATAGTTAGAATTACCGATATTGGGAGATTTAGGTATTTACCTTACCAAGATAAACTTCAGAGTATCTTCATTTTTTTCTCTTTAAACTAAGGAATTGGCTTTGAATATTACTTCATAGTTTATAAATAGCTATGTATATATTATAGCTTATATAGAAAATGTGTCCCTATATGACTGAGAGTCTATGTGATAGATTAGGCCTAAACCAAATTTGAAATAAATTTTGTGACTATTCAAAGCAAATAGGTTTATTCTTCTTTTTTACCTAGGTATTTAATAATTTTTTTTTAATATAAAAGCAATTCAACGTAAGTTATATAAAATTAAAATACAGGAATAGATAATGTAGAAAGGTAAAGTCCCCCAAGAATCACTGTCGATCCTTTGATGCATATTTGATCATCTTTTAATATGTATAATATATTACATATAAAAATAATTATTAGTACTAAATTTATACAGATGAGATTATACTGTATATATTTATCTACAATTTGCTTTATTCATGAACACTACTATCTTTTGGACATTTTACCACATGACTAAATATAGTTCTAACTCAATCCATTTTTTTTTCTTGGCTACATAAATATTTCTTTTAATGACTATATAAGCTATATAGGCATCAGGGCAATTTTTGTTGCTATTACATATAGTAGTACAATTAATATTTCATTTGTATCTTTAGAACAATTGTGCAAATGTTGATTGAGAAAAATTCTTAGACATAGAAATATTAGATGGAAGGTACTGAGCATGTTCAGCTGTAAGGAATATTGCCAAATGGTTCTTCAAAGCATAACCAGTGTGTATGAGAGTGTCCATTTCCC